AACCTGAAAATGCGGCTCAAAGGCATTTTGATATTAGGCATCAGTAAGATAAACCCTCTTGAGAGTCTGATATTTTGAGAGAAACTTCACGTCTACAGACATTATTGCAACCCTTGAAGTCCTCCAGACAGAAGCTCAATTCAATGCTATGAATTATATCAAGTGGATTGGTTCAGTGCTAGTGATCCATAGGGACATCTGACTTGTAGTTCTAAATTACTACTATTTATATGATTGCCATCACTTTGTAAATTCAATTCCTTGCCAGTAAATTCGAAGTTTGTTATTTCAAGCCCAATTATATTTGTTTTGTACATACGTATAAACATCTTGTAAGTAGATTGACATGGCATTAAAAAAGAAAATAAAAGATTTCTTGGTATTACTTTGAACTAATATTTCCACCACAGAGTGTCTAAAGTTAGTCAGGACCCTAATACTCGTGTATATAGTCGAAGAGTAAAACATGGCCAAGGAAAATGCATGTGAGCTGAAATTTCGAAAAACACATTGAAAACAATGATATTTTGGTGTGTGCTAAGACTGAATCTTGTCAAGAAATTATTTACCTGACAGAGATGAGTAGTTCAAATGGAAGCAGAAAAGGATTTGTACGGGAACGAGAAAATGAGAACTGGTAAAGTAGCCCAAGCAAAGTGTGGAACGCAAATGAAAGATCAAATGACGCAATTGAATTGAAGATTTGCATGACGAAAGAGCTCACCATATTAAAATGACATCAGTAGGCATCTATAAATAGGAGCATACTCACCCATTCATGTTCATTGAAATGCTTTGACAGAAATGCATGGATATTCAACAACAACTATAATTCACCCCAGAAGGAGGTGAACCAACATTTCCAGAAGAGTTCATAATAAGAAGAACTTGTCCTAAAGGAGAAGGTTCGTAATGAGAAGAGTCTGTTCCTTTCAAATCCACCACAGAAGGAGGTGAACCAACATTTCCATAAGAGTTTATAATGAGAAGAACTCATCTTAAAGGAGAAGGGTCGTAATGAGAAGAGCTTGTTCCTTTCAAATTCACCCCAGAAGGAGGTGAATCAATATTTCTAGAATAGTTCATAATGAGAAGAACTCATCCGAAAAAAGGAGAAGAAGTTCATAATGAGAAGAACTTGTTCAACCTTAGTTTGATTCATCGCATATAGAGTTGAATCAGCAACACCTCACTCGAGGGATCAACATTTTCAGTGGAGAGTTCATAATGAGATGAACTCGTCTTATGAGGGAGAAGAAGTTCATAATGAGAAGAACTTGTTCAACCTTAGCTTGTTTCCAACGCAGAATGAGTTGGAACAACACCAACAATTCGTTCGATTTCATCACAGAATGAGGTGGTTCAAACATTTCCATCTCACTTAAATCCATCGCATAAGGAGTTGGATCAGCATCACCTGGGTCAACCATCATAGAAGATAGTGGATTGATATCCCCAGCGAAGAGTTCATAATGAGAATAACTTGCCCGATAAGAAGAACTCGGAGCTCGAGTGTTTGGCAGTCTGATCAAATAAAAAAATTGGTGTTTCATGTCTTTGCTCTATTCCTATTTCACAGCAATGAGCAAAGAGGGGCAGCTGTAATCACCAATTTTTTTCCTAACCTCTACTGCCACCAACTTCACAATAAGCCTATACCCTACCACTTCATCCGTCACCGCCATTCCCCAAACCTACTGCAGAGATATCAACAAAACCCCATAATATCTGGGGCATTAAAATCCATAATCATCACAAACAGAAACCTAGTATTAGATTAGATTTTTATTTTATACTAAATTTATGTAAGAATATGGATATATAATCCATGGAAAAACAGAATGTACACGGACAGAGAGAAAAACAAAGAAAAATTTCTGAGCAATACAACAAGTTTTCTTCAGCAATTATCTTTAAGGTATTCTAATGTGTGTGTTGTTTTTTTTCCCCGTTCGATGCTAGTTCTAGGGTAAAAACGAAAATAAAATAGATAGGAGTTGAGAGTTACCTCACGACCTTTGAATGTTCTTCGGGTAGTAACGTCGTTGAGGAGATGCTAAGTTAGTCATCGATGAATTAAGGTAGCTGGACCACCGCGTGGGGTGGTTGTTTCGGGGTTGGGTTATCATTCAGTGAGATGAGATTGAATGGGTTTTTGTGTAGCGGTTTGGGGTAGAGTTCCTACAGTGGGTAGGATATAAACTAGAGGAGAATGGCCACCCAAATAGGGTGTCGAGGGGTAGATTGGCCACCGTGAGAGGCTTCGGTTTTTTTTTTGAGGGACTGCTGCCGTGAGTGAGGGAGGAAGAAAAGAGAAGAGTTGGGGCTAATCCACGCAGAAATGAGTTCTGGTAAAGGGGGGAAGTTGATATCTTAGTATTTTTGGGTAAACCACACTAAAGGTCCTTGGACCTTTAGCATGTTTTATTTGGCCACTAGTTTTAGGTTAAACTACCTTACTGGTCCTTTACGTTTAATGTGATTCGTGATTTAGTAACTTTTAGGGTAAATCACGCCGTAGGTCCCTTACATTTTAGCGTGTTTTGGATTTAGTCATTTCCTTTTTTTCTAAGATTTACGAATTAGATGCATGGTTTTGTATTATTTTAATTTAGTCATCTGTTGTATGTTTTTTTGTTCAAAATTTGGTGCTGATATTTATAATATTCCATTTTAGTCCTATTATTATGTTTTATTATGATTATAATGCTTTTGTTTTGGTTATGTTCTTGTTCATGCCATGATTTTTGTTTATTAATGTTTAATATCCTAAGATTATTATATTTATTTTTGTCACCATACAGTAAGTAGATTCATATGTATTATTTATTTTACCATTAAAGTGTGTTTTTTTTTATATATTTATTTTGTTTGTATATTATTTATATTTGTATATAATATAGCATGATAGAAATATTTTATTTTATATTTGTATTATATTTTAGAATAAATATCATGTTCTATGTTTAATATATTTAGAAATATGTATATTTATGAAGCATAAAGTTAAAAATAAATTTAAAATGGTTCTTTTAATCATGTGTTTATATTTTTTCTCTAAGTGCTTCAATGTGTCATATTTATTTTGTTTAAAAGCCTCATTAGCATAACTTAACCGATTACATAATTGGATTAAGGTAGTTTTGTATTTAAAATATTATGAAGGGACAGTCTTAAGACAACTAGATGTCCTTTTCTGATATTTTAAAATAAATAAATATTCCCACTAGAAAAAACTAAAAATTAACTGCATTGAAAACTAATTAATTGTGAAGGGGAAAGTAAATATTCATTATTTTAAACTTATCGAGATAATTTGCTAATTTTATTAGGAATTAAGTCTCGGTATTTTTAAATTATTGAATATCACTTATCTTTTCTAATAATATAATTTAGATTAATGATTTTAATTTCTTTCTTTGGTTGAATAAAAATTATTTTAATATTGAATTCTTAGGAAAAATTATTATATTCCTTTTATTTTAGTTGGAAAGAGAAATATTCATCCTAAAGTATTTTAGGGAGTATTTTCTCTTCAATTGGAAATAAGAAGAATATTTTATATTTTTCTTAGAATTTTGTATGATTGAATTCGAAATGGAATCGTAATTTAAATATATATTCGAATTCTTAGATTTCTACTATTTAGAGATAATATATAATAGATGGGTATCAATTTTGGGCGTTGTGGGAGTGTTTATCCTTCCCCACACGTAATCGACCCCCGAACCCTTTTTTTTTACTAAAAAATGAATTTCTGGTTACACGTGGATCGGTGTATATTTTAAAATGACGTTTTTTATTAAAAACTCTTTTTAAAAGAAATTTTTAGTTTTTCGACTTACCTAACCCAAAAGGTCGATGGCGACTCCCAAATGTTTCTTTTACAAAATCGAGTTTTCACAAAATAAGTCGAGACTCGTCGTGTCGCCGGAAATCGATTACGACAATAACAAATTAAAGGACTTTAATGGTGAAAGAGATGATTGTCATCCTCAAAGATTTTGGGTTCGAACACAACATTTACAGAGGTGTTCAACATTCATTGTCAAATGATTGATAATCTCTCGAACAAATATTATCTTATAATTATCTCATATTAACTAAAAAAATTTACCTGCCTGAAGAAAGGCCAAGCTTCTATGTTTTGGGGCCCAACGTATAATTAAGAGTCCTACTCCCAGTTTAATGAAAACTCTGTAGAGGCAATGTTTATATGATAACAGAGCTTACCAACAATTTATGAGCCAACCTGTTAATAGAATAAAAAATAGAAATTATTTTATTAATTTGATGATTTTTATTTTGTAAATTCAATTTAATATAAAATTTTATTAATTTTAATAGAATAAAAAATGTCTATTCAAATTAAAATACATCATTATATGTTAAACATGATAAAATAAATTTCATCATAATTATAAAATTTTAGAGTTTATTTATAAAATTTCATCATAATTTATAAAATCATGATTTTTTTAACTATGCTGATGAATATATAATAACTTTTAATTATAACAATCGAATTCTTTGAATGATTTAGTGGTTAGCATTTAGTGGTTTTAGGGTAATCTTTTTTAATGATTTGAATTATAATAGTGGTGTGTATAGAAGGTGGGGCGGGATCAAGATAATTTACAATGTTAAGAAAATAGAAGTCTAAAAATAAGGTTTAATATTTTGAAAATATTTATTTCCATGAAATATGGACTGTATACATATATTGAATGAGAACTCATTAAGTGCTAAGTAGTTAAAAATAGTGTTATTCTTATGTGATGCTCTAGGTTTTCACCGTGTGTGTAAGATTGAGATTAATGGTAGAAAATAAAAAAAAATATTCACTAAAAAAATAAATTAATCTCAATCATTTATTTTCACTCATTAAACGATTTTAAATACACATAAAAAAAACTTTATCTAAGTGAATTATAATCCTTATTCAATTATTGCAATATATATATTTGTGATAATTAAAAGTTGTAATATTAAACATCTATATAAACCAAACCATATATGCAAATATATATTAATATTACTAATTTTTCTCCTTTTCCTCGAAAAAAAAAAACTCCAACCTAGAACAACAAACTGTATCTCACAAAGCAGCAAATACTCTCCTTTCTAAAACTTTTTTTCCCATTTTTCTTCTCCCATTTTCCTCTCCTCAAGTTCTAAATTCTGGGTGTTAAGAGGTCAAATATTTAGAGGATTATGATCCATCCCTGTGCATGCCAATACCCTGAAATTCCCTGCTTCTCAATCTTCCTTTAATGGTTGCCCTTTCTTCCCCCACATTTTCCATCCTTTAAACACCCAAAGCTACCATGTAACACTAACAAAAACATACAGGGGTGTTGGGGTTTCCTTTTTCTTTTTTCTTTTTTGGCTTTTTTTTAATATGAATATCCCTCAAATTTGATCTCCCACTAGTTTTAAAACTATACTTCACAGGGTCTACTTGCCTTTCTCCTTTTAGTACTTGGACTTGTAAGTGAAGAATTTACATAGGAACCAACTGTTGTCTCACTCTCCTCAGTTTTATAGCTGAAGCATGCTGCATCCAGTACCCCAATGGGGCTCTGTGGCAAACTTCCATTGCCTATTTTAACCAATGACACTTCATGCAGCAATTTAACACACTTCATCACTCTCTCCTGCAACCAAAAACAGCAACAATCAAACCCATGTCTTAATTCAATCTGATTAGGGCCAGCTTAACATTGTTGTTGTAGTTCAAAAATGCTTTGAACCCATCAAAGGGGGTGTTGTTCTCTCTTGGGTTCGAGCAACTGCGTCTACAGGGTGTGTGTATCACTTGTCAATAGGTTAAGAAAGTTCTGAACAGATACTACATTATAATCACCTCAGACTATTCGAAAAAAATGATTTAGCTTCAAAAAAGTAAGCAATGCTGAACACATCCTAAGCAAATAATCAAAACCCTAAACTGCAAAACCAATGAATCAAACATCTATGTTCCCAATTTTGTATTAGTTTGGGGACGCTGGACCACCAAAGTTTTTACCTTTTGTACATGGTTACTAAGAATAGAGATGGCTTTCTCAGTGTCCACAGTGTTGGTTGTTTCAACAGCAACAGATAATGCCACTGCTGCTGCAATTTCAGAAGACTTGAATTCCAAGAAATCAATCCCTGCATTCAATTCCCACCCACTCCATCATATAATTCAACAACACCTCCTTTATTAGTCCAAAAGTGTGGAGAAAGGGACCTTTTATTGTGCTTGAAATGAGTTGGATTGATCTCAAGATTGAACTTCTAACTGGGATTTTATCATCATTGAGCTTGTAAAGGAAATAATCTATGAAGGAAAATGGAGTGATTGCTTGCATTCTCCAACTCAAAGTGCTCAACACCAGAAGCTCCATTCTTTGTATAGTTTTAGCCTCAAACACAAATTTAGATTTCCCCACCTATTTTTAATAACCAAAACAACATATCAGATCAAACCAAGATTACAACACCAAAACCAAAACAAAACTATTGCATTTGATTGATTCTTTAACCTGTAAATCTACAATCAATGGAATTTCAGTCTCCTCCATTTTGGCAGCAAGAGATAAACATGCCACAGTGAGTAACTGCATCATCCAAGCTTTGCCCTTCGGCATTATTTAAGATTAGACACAAAGGATTCAATGGAGTTTTAGGTCCAAAACACAAGATTCTCATGTTTGATTGGGTTTGAACTTACAGGTAATTCATATGCAGAGAGAAATCTGTCTAAGTAGTTTATTGACAAGTACTCACAAAGAGGTCCAAAACCGAATTTGGAATGAACCTGTTGAAGAAACGAGGCAATTATAACAATCAACCACATGAAAGAAACTCTAACACAAAGACAAACGATTGAATTCAACAGTAAAGGACACAACACACCCTACAATGACAAATAATGAAGAGAAAAGAGTAGAAATAGTTTCAACTTTGAAGCCGATTAGAAAAGGTATAAAGAGATAAGTACAATTAGCAAATCAGAAATGGCCCCAACAGAAAAAGCAAAAAAAAATTAACCCACCAAACATATTTCAGAATGTGAAAGAAAAAATGATACCAAAAATCAGTTCGTTTTGTGATTGACTCGAGGATTTATCAAAATAGTGAAACAATGAAAGAAAAGATGGCAAAACAATACTAATATTGAGATAATGAAAGTAAACTCATAAAACTGAAAATTTTCTCATTAATCTGTGAGTTTACCTACCATCCCAATGAAATGAACAGATTCTTTTCTAGCTTCAAAGTCCAAAACTCCAACTTTTAGCCTGTTCAAGTAATCAGCACCAGGCAAATGCTGATGTTCTTTCTCTACCATCAAAGCCACGCACTCTTCACTCTGCAATGGCAACCCATCTTCATCAACACCATTAAAGACTCGGTTTTGATTCAAGTTTCGATAATATCTATGATTCCAAGCCGCCCCATAGTAATTATTATCATCAAAACCGTTGTCGTTGTCTTCCGCACATAGAAGACTCGAAACTGCACGATCAAAACTTGGTGCCATTGCAGACTCTTAATAAACTCAACAAAAAAAACTCTCTTTCAGAACGTGGGCTTGTAAAGTGAAAGAATTGAAGAAGAAGAAGAGAGAAAGAAATGGCGTTTAAAGGGTATATAATAAATATGGTGTTTTAAGAGTGAAATTGAAGCAATATCTCCCTCACTTGAGGGTTGAGGAACAAAACAATGAAGAAGAAGAGAAGAGGGTTCTCTTAAGAAGCAAATCCAATGCCGCTTTAGGGTTAAAAGCAAGAGAGAAAATTGAAAGCGCGAAAGAAGGACATCCAAGGAGGGGCAAATACAAGATTTTCCATAGGAAAAAAGAGAAGAGAGAAAGAAGGGTTTTTGTCTGTGACTGTACATGTAGATGTCACCCCATTAGTGCTTTTCTGAACTTTCTCGCTTTACTCATTTACAGAAAGCCAAATTGAGAAATATATTTTATTAAAAAAAACTAATTTTTGTCTCTTTCTTTTGTTCTTATATAATATATAATTAGTTGTAATTATATTATTATTATTATTATTATTATTATTATTCAAACACCATATATATATAATATATATTTAATGTCAAATAATTAAAAATATTTAAATAAATATTATATTATATTTATCTTAAAATAATAAAAAAATCTAGTTTTCTCTTAATATTTATCCATTATTTTAAAGTTTTCTTTTTATCTAAATTGTTTCTCGAGGTTTTGTTCTAATTAATCCGGATGACTCATGTTGTATACTTGATTTTAGTTGACAAGTCTCTCAATAAAGATATTTTACATGCATAAGATCTTGAACTCAATACATATTTAAATGATATCAAACGACTTATCACTTGCACTTATCTTTATTGATATTATTTTTATGATTTTATGTTAAGATGAGTAGTAAAATTTTTGGATTATATAATATTTTACTATATTTTATATGAGCCTGCAAAATAAATGTATTTATTAAATATATTGTGTTTTAGTTAATTTCTTTTGACTTTCACATCTGTAAAAAGTTGTGAATTTAATGTATTTAAGTATAATTAAATTCTATTCAAAAATATATAATTAAGTTTCATTTAAATATTAATATAGTATAAAAATAATTTAAGTATAATATAAAAAAAAAGAAATGTATATACACAATATTTTTTCTATCATTATTTATTTTGGTATTGATTATTATCTCAACAAGTTGGACTAATTTTTAAATTGTTTAATATATATTTATGAAAAATAAAAAATATTTTAACCCCAATTTTAATTTTAAATTATTAAGTTGTACCATAGAACTACTCGTTGAACGAATTTTATCCCTTGAACAACTGGGCCCTGATTTCCATAAGATAAATGCAGCTCACACCCTGTAGTTTTACTTTTTTACCCTCGAGATAGGCTGAGAAGAAAACGACAATGAATATGACTGTAAATCGAAAAGTAACCAATTGAGGACTTGACCCTGTCTTTTTCGTCCCATGCTGACACGTGTAAAATGGTCACCACCGGTCTATGAGTCAAAACATCGGTTTCGAAACCGGTCTACGACTGTACTTTTCTTTTACTCTTTCAACTTTCTTTATGCGGAATTAAACTATAAATATTTTTACCAACAACCAAACCATTTGATCTAGGGCGAGAGGCATTAAATTCTTTAAATAAGATTAAAAAATTATGTTTTAATAATTGTAAATAGAATAAATTAAGTTAGGAGAATAATTTCAATAAAAGGTCTCTATAAAATCTAATATAAATTAATAGATCAATATATCATATATCAACGATTAATTAAAAAGATATAACATTTTCACTTTTTTACGCATTCAGTTATGAAATTTTATTCATTTTCATGACTAATCAAAGTGTTGGATGAATTATCAACAAGAAGTTAATCTAGTGAGATAAGACACTAGTTTCCTTAAGTAATTTTAGGGGTTTAAATCCTGACGTTTACGAATTGAGTAAATTGAGTGAGAAAGGTTGCCCTTGCCTTGCAGTACCCGGTCCAAATTAATTAATTAATAGATGAGATATCAGTTATTATATGTAGACACCCCATTTCATCCAATTGTATATGTGTTACATTTATAATATTTATGTATATATATATTATAATAGGCATGTATTACATATAATTTATTCTATTGTTTTACATATTGCAGGCTTGAACACATGGACCAAAGCTACTACACGTGACCCAAGTGGCCCAGCTCCAAGTGAACCCTAGTTCATTCGTGCGATCAGCGTTGTTTCCAGAACCTTCTGCCCCACGCCTCCTGCAACTTCTCGGTTAGCAAGCCCGATTTTTACGCCGCACGACTCGCCTCCAACAAACCGGAAAACATGAGGCCATCAACAGCAACCGCGGATTCCAAGCAACCAAAGAAAGAGGAGTAGTCCCATTAGGACTCTATTTTGTACTAAAAATAGTATTTTTGCTATAAATGTAACACGCCATATCACACACATGAGGGGGAGGTACACGAAAATATGGGCAGTACACAATATCACTACGCACATAGATTAGGAAGTAAAACGCAAAATATTCAAAGCGTATTTTGTAAACATTTGCAAGGTGAAATAAAAGGTGAAGAGACTTACCCTTTTCGGTTTTTGCATATAGAGTTTGATCTCCTTGTTGTTGCTTGGCTCTCGTTTTCACTCGAAAAACCTTAAAAGAGGTAAATCAACCGATGAACGGGGGTTATGTTTCGAAATTTTCTTTCTAAGATCTACCCTCGAGGCCCAATTTTTTTTTTTTTTGAAAAAATAGTTTTGATATTCAAAAAGGGGAGAAGAAAAACTTTTGGAAAAATCAATTGTTTTTTGAGGTTTGCCGCCGATGAACGGCGGCCGGTGAGGTAGTGTATGGTGGCTGGATTCTGGAAACTCTCTATGTTCTTCATAAATGAAGAACAAGCGAGAGAGAAATGAAAATGGGAAGAGGGGCTTCGGTTTTCTGAAGACGAAATGAGAAATGAAGCTTTTAAATTTTTTTGTTGGCTTTTATTGTTAGCCCATAAATCCGACCAGTAATCCGACCCATGGGTCATGTGGATCCGTGTGTTTTGCCTCTACAGTGGGTTAATGCCCATTTCGGTCCCTCTGATTTTAAATACACGCAGATTCATTTTTTTCCTTCGATTGGCTTTTAATTTCGACCTCTAATTCATTTTTTATTTCAATTTAACCCTTGTTATATATACTTAATTATATTTTTATCATTTATATATTTTTTAGTATTATTACCAATTTTAGTATTTTATTCTACCATGTATATGTATATATTTTTTTATTTTCATTATTTCTTTTATATTTTATGTATATATATTTTTATATTTATTATATTTTTTATTTTTTCCTCTTAATTCGGTTTTATTATTATTATTATATATATATATATTGTATATTATTTGTTTTTTTACATAACATTATTGATACATATTTTGGTCTTTTATATTTTTCATTTCTTTTATTATATATATATATATATATATATATTCATTCTTTATATAATCACCTAGGCCCACTCCCATTTTTTTCCCCTTCGTTTTCTTTCTTTTTCTGAACCAAAGTCCTCCCCCCGTGACATGATTAGAGGGGGTAGGTATTAGGTTTTTTTTATTACTATTTTGTTTTTTTTTCTTTTTCATTATTATATTATTTTTGCATAATATTTATATATATATATATATTGTTTTGTTTTTTAAATTTTATTTTCTATTTTTCGTTTTCTTTTCTTTCTTTTTATTTTCAATTTGATTGCCTTTTATTTGCTTTGTTTATTCATTTTAATTCAACAGCATGCTTTTTTTAAATTTGATTATGCACTTTACTACATCTAACACTTGTTTGACTTTTTTAAAGGGTATGTTTTCAAATCAATCAGTGGTAAGTATTTGGATCATATTTTTATCTTGTTTTTTAAACTTACAAACTTTCTTAATTAAAGACAACTGGAAATTGCGTAGTACCAAAAGGGCAGTTCAAGGGTGCTAACCCTTCCTTGAATGTAACCGGCTCCCGAATCCGATACAACTTTGGTAAGACGCAGATCAAGTAAGAAATAAGGTGTACGATCAACCCATTTTTTTTAAAAAAATAAATGATCGGTGGCGACTCTAATCCATTTTCCTAAGTCAAAGCCCAATTCCGGGCCCAACCGAAAGACGGTTCCGACAGCTTGGCGACTCCGTTGGGGACACAGGTAAGTGAGTCAGGCTAAGGTAATTTCCAGTTGTCTTTTTAACGAAAATGGTAAGTTTAAATTTTAAGGTAACATTTCGATCCTTATTACTTACTTTTGATTATATTTTCAAGTAAATAGTTGTACTAACTGTTTTCTAATGATTTCAGCCCCTAAATATTTTTCATCTAAGGCTCTAAAATCGAGCTCTGAACCCTATTTTAAGTAGGGGTGAAAGCGACGCCTTCGTGTGAATTTATTCATCGTGCGGGCCTAGCAAGTAGCCTTCGGGATTCATATACCTTATGTCTTCGTGTGAATTTATTCTCCGTATGGGCATAAAGGAATGTTTCCTCTCTAGTTTAACTTAGTCCACACAAGCCTGTGATGGGTTTAGGACTAAAGGTCTGGCAAGCCCAAGGAGACACCGGCAAGGAGAACTCGGGTACCATTTTTTAGAACCAAAACCAGGAGATCATGGAGAATTAGAGCCCACCCCAAAACCTCATTTCCAAACCCTAGGCTTGTTTGATTTTATTTCCTGCTTTATTTCATGTTCAAAGCATGTGAACTAGAAATTTATGCGGTTAAGACTTATTCAAAATTATCTTACGGGATAGAGATCATGTCCGGGTAGGAATCATAAGCATGTGGGGTAGATATCATGTGGGTAGGACTTTTCATTTTCATCATTTTTTTATTATCCTTATCTCACTAACTTTTTTTCATTTTTGTTCTTTTTCATTTTTCATCATTTACGTCATTTGAAAGAGGTGTTGATCCACCGAAAACGTGTTTGTTAAACGTAAATAATTTGCATTAATGGACAAAGGGGTTGTAATACAATAGATGAAAATGCAGAGGACAGTCTACAAGGCGACTATATGTCACATTTAATCCAGAAGACGTGGTACTCACAATTGAAGAGTATATTACTCTGCTGCATTATAAAGGACTCATAATGAACCGGGTCAACATCAAGCACAATGAAAGTCTATCTTGGAAGAACTGACTGGCAGAGGTTGCAGGGGCAAGATGAAGGTTACTGATCTTGGGAGTCCCTTCAAATAAAACAATGGCAAAATGATAGCTGAAATTGGAGACCATTACTGACGAATTCAAGAAAACAGACGAATGAACTTCACATAGTTCTTATCAATTGAGGGCTCCAATGACGTATTCGTTGGGAAAAGGTTCAACATAAGATAAATGCTAGAGATTCAAGATTTATTGGAC